GGATTAAAAATTAATTTAAAAATAAAATGACAAAAACAAAAAAAGGATGGTGGTGCCCTCAACAGAAACAGGAAAGTTTAGAAAAGGAACTGGTTAGGGAGGAAAATAATTAACTGCATTATTGATATGTCAAATTTGAGATGTAGTAAGTCTGCACTGCAGCTGGTGATGTGGTCCTGGAGTTCGAGAGAGATCAGAGCCAGATATGGAGATTTGGAATTCATCTTGCATACAATCAAAAGGTCACATCCATGAACAAAAACATAGTCAAGAAAGTCTAGAATTCAGAAATGGCCATTGGATTTAGCAGCTAAAAGATCATTACTAATGTGAGATGGAAAAGTTTTAGTGAAGTGATGGTATTGGAAACCAGACTGGAAGAGGTTAAAACATAAGTGGGAATTGAAAAGGTGGCAAGGACCATAAACATCTCTTTCTGGGACTTTGGCAGTGAGTAGGAAGAGAGATGTTTAAAAATGAGGATTAAGAATAGATGGAAATAATGGGAGTAAGAGATTTTTAAAATGTATTTTTATTTATTTCATGAAGTATCCCCCAATTACATATTTTTAAAATTTACATTCATTTAAAAATTTTTTCAGCCCCAAATTCTCTCTCTCCCTCCCATTCCTCCCTCAGCTCTTGAGAAAGCAATTAATATGATATCAATTAAACATGTGAAGTCATACAAAGCATATTTCCATACTAGCTATGTTGCCAAAGAAAACACACACAAAAAAAAACCCCAAGAAAAATAATTGTATTTTTGAAAAAATCAGCTTCAATCTATACTCAGAGTTCATAGGTTCTCTCTCTGGAGATGGATAGCATTTTTCATCATGAGTCCTTTGGATTTGTCTTGGTCAGAGAAGCTAAGTCTTTTTCAGTTGATCATTGTTACCTTATTGCTGTTACTATGTACAATGTTCTCCTGGTTCTGCTTACTTCACTTTGCATTAGTTTATATATGTCTTACCAGTTTTTTCTGAAACCATCCTGCTTATCATTTCTTATAGTACAATAAGGAATATGAGGTTTTTAAGAAAGGGGAAAGCTGGGGATGTTTGTACAAAGAGAGTTCAAAAGCAACAATAAGGCGATGCTGAAGATGGGGTTGTGAGATGATATAATGGAGCAAGTTTCTGGAAATGAGATCAAGGGCAAAATAGAGGGATGGAGAGCAAATATCTATCCTTCAGAGACTAGAGCAAAGGAGGAGACAATGGGGGGTAGCATAAAGGAGGTTTGAGGCCTGGAGCAGAAGAAAATAGGGAACTCGTGCCAGATGACCTCTTTTTTTTTTCCAATAAAGTAGGAGGTAAGGTGCCCTGCTAAGGGGAGATGGTGGAAGGGGCTTGAAGAGAAAAGAGTAAGTTTATAATAGCCCTCTGGGGGGTATGAGAGAGCTGAATTAACTAAAGTACTTCATTTGCTTTACAGGATTATAGAACATCGAGTTACTGTTCTTACTGTCAAGTCTGTGCAGTGACTCAATGACTCAGTGGATGACCATGCAGGTGCTTCCACTCTAGGCTATTTATCAACCAAAATTTCCAGGGAAATGAAACAGTGTGAAAATCACAATATATATATCATGAGGCTGACCCCCAACATCCTACAGCTGCATAGAGGTCACATCCATGAAATGGGAAAAAGGAGTACAAGATCTCAGATTAAAATTCATGAAGTACACATATTTTGTGGATGAGGAAACAAGTTTAAGTGACTTGCCCAAGGTTAGACAGTTAGGAAGTATATGAGGCTGCATTTGAAGCTTAGTCTTCCTGATTCTAGATCCAACATTCTCTCTCTTACACCATCCAGGCTCTTTGAAGCAGCCATGTGGGGCTTTCAAGCATGATTGAACAGAGGGGTTATAATGGTTAGAGTTTCCTGGGCATGTTCTTCTCACTTGAAGTCCCTTCCATTTCTAGACTTATAATCCTGCTATCCTAAAAAATGAGCCAGTCAGACAATCAATAATCATTTACTAATGATAAACCATGCATTAATGACAGCCAGGCACTATGCGAAGGGCCAGTACAAAGAAAGGTAAAAACAGTCCCTGCCCTCAAGGAGCTCACAATCTAATGGGAAGACAACATGCAAACAACAATGTACAAACAGAATACATAGAAGATGAACAGGAGATAATTAATAGAAGGAAGCCACTAAAATTCCTGTGCTCTGTTGCTTGTCCCAACTACAGGGAATATTGGTCAGGAGGTACTCATTATCTCATTAATCTGTTGTTTGGTAGGTAGGTAGATAGAGATTATAGATATGTAGATATAGATAGATACATATGTACACATATATAACTATATTTCAATATAATTGGTTTCCTTTGCAATCCTATATATTTTATTTTATGCATTTAAAAAATTATTCTGAGAGTGGGTTCATAGGCTTCACCAGACTACCAAGTGGATCCAAGACACAAAATGGTTAAGAACTCTTGAACTAAGGAGTGGCCTATGATGAACTGGGCTTCAGATTCGGCATGGTCAATGGGGAAAAATATGGCCCATCTCTTTCCCTAGGGTATTTCTACTCAGAGCATTGTGGACATGACTCAGGCCATGCTAGGCTCCCCAGAAGACTCCAGGGGTCTTTGACTAGGGAGTTCTAGAGCAATATGATTGTCTCCAAATTTTCTGTGCCTCAGGAAGAGGATTCTAAATGATGGGGTCGACCCTTTCCATCCATCCCCTTGCTTCTGTGCCCCAGCCCAGTTTAAGTCCCTAACCATCCTGGGAACATTAGCCATCTGAGCAGTCTGTGTTTGCAGACCTCAAATGTCTGGGGTCTTCTCATGTTGATTAAAGACACATTGCCTTCTAGCATTCCTGTGAGCTTCTTACTGGTAAGCTTAGCTGTCCATCAGCATTGAACCAGCCTATTGTTCCATAACAATTGTAACTATCAGTGGTCTGATGATTGGCAGCTCCAAGGGCTAGTGGAATTAGTGGAAAGTAGGAAAGGGAGAGGTCTCTCCCTACATTTCTGTGTGACCTGTTAACAAATCCTCTGGGGAGTTCTAAGTATGTATAAAATCTCCACAAATAGCCCTGGTCTAGGACTTGCGTGGGAGGATGAAGGTATGAGTGGGACTTTTAGTGATTAATATCAATGTCATGTGGCACCAGGCTATGTACATATGCAGCCTGGAAGATGGGATCTTAGGCACACAGATGCAGACAGAGGAATGGGCATGACTAAGAGCATAGATAGGGGGAGAGTGGTTAAATCCAGGGTCAGAGACTGTGACTGATCTCCCCCCTGGTCCCAGTGAGAGAAAAGTGGAGAATAAAATGAATTGTTTTCCGGAATGCTTTGAATTCCTTTGAGAAAATATAAATGCAGCCAACCTTCTATCACCTGACAGAGGGAAGCAGTGGTCTGGATAATCCCAGACTCACTTTCCTTTGGCTTCAGATTGTACTGAGTTCTCACACAGTGGTCTCACCCTCTTAGTTGTGACTGCTTTCTCCGCATTAGACCAGGAGCTTGCAATCCTGGTCCATCGTGGTGAGGGAGGGAGGATATCAGGAATGGAAAGGAGTCAGAGATGGGATGCTAGGCTGGGATTATAATTCCAAGGTGGATCACCAAGGCACTGTGGAATCACAGACTAGCAGAGGTCAAAGGGGACATAGCTCATCTCGTCCTACTCTTTCAGTTTACTGCTGAGGGAATGGAAGTTCAGAGATGGGATATGGACCTGCCCAGGGTTGGACAGTCAGTTCATCATAGACTAAAACCCAGGCCTTTATGGTCCAGGTCATATTTGCTCACACTAGATGTCTCCTGTATTGCTGTGTGGAGTCTCTGGCAGGCACTGTGACGTGGTGGGAGGGTGGATGAGGCTATTCTGAGTGAAGTCTTAGTGGGATCCCACTGCCTCTCCTTCCTGATCTTCCGGGGTCTCAGTAGCCTTAGGTGGGGACCGGCCTCCTTAAAGAGATGCTCCTCCAGGTGGGAACAGCTGCATGGAAGGGCCTGCAGCTGAGTCTTTGCCTCCCTCCCTCTTCTGACTTTGCTTCATTCTGTCTCCCTCCTCCCTCCTCTTTCTTCCTTCTTCATCTTTCCTCTTTCCTTCCCTATCCTTGTCCCTTGTCTCTTCTCCGACCTCCCCCTTGCTTACTCTACTCTCTTCTAACTCCCTTCCTTCCTTGCTTCCTCTCTCATCTCCCCTCTCTCCTCCCTCTTATAACTGCCCTCCTTTCCTCCCTCTGTCTCATCTTCCTCCACTATCCTCCATCCTTCCTCTTACTCTCCTCTCTTCTTTCCTTCCTTCCCCTCCTCACTACCTCCTTCCCTCTCTCTTCCTTTCTTCCTTCCCTCCCCTTTCCTCTTTCCCTTCCTTTCTCTTCTTTCCTTCTTTCCTTTTTATCCTTCCTTCCTTCCTCTCTCCTCTTTTCTTTTTTCCTCCCCCCATAACTACCCTTCTTTCTGCCTCATCTCCTTCCATTCTCATTCACCTTCCCTCCTCTGATCTTCCTCTCTTCTTCCACAATCCCTCATCCCTACCTTCTTCTCCTCCTTCTCCCTTGTTATGCCTCCATTCTCCCTCTTTCTTACTTTTTTCTCTTCTGGCTTCTCCCTTTCCTTCCTTCCTCCTATTTTCTTCCTGTCCTTCTTCTCTATCCCATCGTCTCTAATCTGACTTCTGTCTTTTCTTGTTTCCTTCTCCTCTTTCTCACTCATCTTTCCTCCATCTTTCTTTCTTGTTCTCTCCTCTCTTTTTACTTCCCTCCTTTATCCATTGCTCACCTTCCTCCTCCTTCCTCTCTCCCCTCCCTTCCCTGTTTCCTCATTCTTCTCCCTTCTTTTACTTCCCCAATTCCTTCTCTTTCTATCTTCTATGTCCTCCTATTTCCTTCCTGCATTGAATCCTTTCTGTCTTTTCCACTTATACTTCCTCACTCCCTTCCCATGGTCCCCTAACTCCTCCCTCCCTCTTTCTCTTGCTACCATGGTGGTGGTGGTGCTCCCAGAAATCCAAGATTTCCACATTTGAGAAGATGTGGGCATTCATGAGCAGCAAACCCTCAGCCCTGGTAAAGAACAATGAGGAGGGGATCCAGAGAGCCCTTACAGCTGACTATGCCCTGCTTATGGAATCCACAGCCATTGAGTACATCACTCAGAGGAACTGCAACCTCACCCAAATTGGAGGCCTCATCGACTCCAAAGGCTATGGGATCGGCACACCTATGGGTGAGTGGGTATCCAGTCCCCACCACTGCCCCTCACCAAAAAGCAAACTGCCCATCATTCACAGCCCAGACAAGGGACTGTGGGGAAAGAAAAAGAGAGAAATGACTTGCTTGGGATCACATATCTAGGGAGCTTGGAGGGTTGAAATTTAGCACTACGTAGAGATGAGGGGATGAGTTTGAAGACCTCAAGAGGTCTATTCTAGCCTGAGTTCCATTCCATGTCAATACTAGGAAGGAGGAAGGGGCCATATGGTTCATGCTTGCTTCCTCCTCTACAACACTATGGGGCTCTCTGCCTATGTTTGAGTAATGACTTGATCATAAGATCCACTGACTTAAAGTAGCTCACCTACAGTAGCTCACTTTTATACTGTGTCTTCTTATCCACTTACTCAAAGGATCCTCCCAACAGCCTTGGGTGGGAGTCAAGGCAGGGATTACTATCCCCATTTCAGAGATGTGAAAACTGAGGAAAGTTACTTACTCAAGGTCACACAGTGTAGGAATTTGAAATTCAAATCCAGGTCTCCCAGTGCCTTAGGCCAGGGCTAATGTGCTAATGAGAGACCCTTCACCACTCCAGCAGCATATGTGCATCTGCAGATAAGACCTGTTGGTGCACTGACCTGGATTTGGAGTCAGAAGATAGATAGTTCAGTCTCTGCCACTTAGCTATGTGGCTGTGGACAAATCACATCCCCTCCCCAGTCTCAGTTTCCTGGTCTACCTCACTGGGCAGAGGCAATGACTAAAGGAATGTGAGCTTTCATTGTTGTGGCTGTGGCTGCTGCTGTTTTGTCTACAAAGGGCCCAGGGCCAGGTCAGGAGGAGGTTAGGTCCAGCTCCCCCTGACCGCGTTTTCATGTGTGTCCCGCTCCCCAAGGCTCCCCCTACAGAGACAAGATCACCATTGCCATCCTTCAGCTACAGGAAGAGGACAAGCTGCACATCATGAAGGAGAAGTGGTGGCGGGGCAATGGCTGCCCAGAGGAGGAGAACAAGGAGGCCAGTGCCCTGGGCATCCAGAAGATCGGGGGCATCTTCATCGTGCTTGCTGCAGGGCTGGTGCTCTCTGTGCTGGTGGCTGTGGGCGAGTTCATCTACAAGCTCCGAAAAACTGCTGAGCGGGAACAGGTAACCCCTTCCCCAAGGAAGTGGGGGGGGAGAGGGCATACCTGAGACCATGACTGAGCAGAGCTGGGCTGAGAGGAGAGAGTCAAGGGAGGGAAGAGGACTTGGGGAGGGTCAGAGCTGAGCAGGACCTTAGAACACAGAAGGTCGGAACTGGGAGGGGTCTTAGAATGTAGAATGTCAAAGCTGGGGCGGGGGGGGGGGGAGTCTTAGAACACAGAATATCAGAGCTGGGAGGGACCTTAAAATGCAGTGTCAGAACTGGGAGGGGTCTTAGAACACAGAACGTCAGAGCTGGGAGACTCTAGAACATAGAATGTAAAAGAAGGGAGGGGCTTTAGAACACAGAATGTCAGAGCTCGGAGAGGTCTTAGAATATAGAATGTCAGAGCTGGGAGGGGTCTTAGAACACAGAATAGCAGAGCTGGGAGGGACCTTAAAACACAGTGTCAGAGCTGGGAGGGGTCTTAGAACACAGAATATCTGAGCATGGGGACCCTAGAACATAGAATATCAAAGCTGGGAGGGGCTTTAAACATATAGTGTCAGAGGTGGGAAAACCTGAGAGTTCACACAATCCCATCTCCTCATTGCACAGATGGGAAGACAGAGGATCAGGCAGGAAAGGAGATGTATCCAAGATCACACAGTGAGTTAGTTAGTGGCAGAACTGAGACCAGAATTTTGGTCTCTGAACTCCTTCAAAGAGACAGATGCTAGCCCAAGTATAATTCTGCCCTCTGTACCACACAGGGAATAACACCAGGCCTCCTCCTCCCTCTTCCTTCCAGCGTTCATTCTGCAGCACTGTGGCTGACGAAATCCGATTCTCCCTCACCTGCCAGCGACGGGTCAAACACAAGCCTCAGCCACCAGTCATGGTCAAAGCCGACGCTGTCATCAACATGCACACATTCAATGACCGTAGACTCCCAGGCAAGGACAGTATGACCTGCAATACTGCACTGGCACCCGTGTTCCCCTAGGGCTGGGGCAAGGGCCAGGGGCTGGCAAGAGGCAGTTCCCCTAGGGCAAAGGACGGGGACAGAAGGAAAGATCCCCCTTCAAAGTCTGCGGGCAGTGAAAGAAGCTGGCCCCACCCCCGCCTGCCTACCTACAATGAACCTACCAGACTCCAGCCTGTGGTTTAGGGGATTGGGTGGATAGTAGGTGGGGGCTTCTTGTTTGTCTCTCTCTTTCTCTAAAGCAGCAGAGGCAAAGATGAAGAATGCACACATACACATACACATACAACACACACACATACACACACACATGCACACACACATACACACACACAAACACACACACCTCCCTCAGGCTGAACTGTCTCCATCTCCTAGATAGGGATTCATACAGTGGACCCTCCGGCGATAAAAGGGCTCCATGCCAGCAGCCTTCTGGGGAGATCTCAAGTCTCCATGTTTAAAACTCTGTCCCATGGGCTTCCAGGAGTGTGACAATTAAAAAAAAAAAAACAGCAGCAGCCATTTTGATCGAGGGGGTATGGCCAACAGTGTGGACAGATGGACACCCATACATGCCCAGGACCCGTGGGCTGGAAGGAAGCTTCTGTTGTACATTGACTGCTGACCTCATCTTGAGTAGCCAAGAGGATTTGAGGCCCACTGGCCTTAGACAGGGTTCCACGTTGGTGGTGATGGAATGGTCCAGGAAGAAGCAACACTGTGAACTGCTTATAGATGAGACACCTCTTTTTATAATGGACTGAGAAGACTAGGGTAGGGGGAGGAAACCACAATGAATTCTTCAACAAGCTATTCCAGGCCCAAGGGACAGATGTCTTCTTCCCCCTCTTAGAGAAAGGTCCAGAGACTCCAGCCACCTGTCCTTGCCTCCCAAAACTAGGCAAGAAGACATATAATATGGAAAAAGCAGATGGCTCTTGATTGGGGCAACCAAGACATTGCTAGAGCCAGGGTGATATTCATTTGGAGCATGAAGGTTTTATTGGTCATGTCCTGCCTCCTTTGACACTGACTCTTTTCTATCTGTCTCCCTCTGTCCTCTTGGGAGGACAAATGAAGGAGAAATGAGCTCCTGGCCCAGGCTAAAGAAGAATTCAAGCCTCATTTTTTCAGAGTATAGATGAGCCTTGAGTTGGACAGCATCCTTTAGAGGCTGACATCTGGAAATGTGGAGGGGACAAGTGGTTAAAGAAGTGACCACAAGAGGCCCTGACCTTCAGGACCTTTCAGAAACTATGAGCTTGTTTCCAATGGCAATTCTGGGCAATGTCTCATCTCCTCAGGGTGGGAGAGGGAAACTGTGCCTAGAAGCATTAACCAAAGACCCCACAAGGTGGCCTCCACCCAGGTCACGCCTCAACTCTTCTCTTCATTCCCCCTGGAGTAGTGGGGACATTGTGGTGCTTTGGAGGACTGGCCAGAGAAGTGGGTAACAGGAAATACCAGAAGGAACAAAGTGTCCTTAAAGAAGGCATGATTTGGCCTGAGAGGTTCTTCTCAAACAGGAGGATTGCCCTACATGAAGGGCATTCATCAGGGTGGGGGACAAAATGGAGGCTCCAATGGCTCACACATGATGCTTCAGTCCTGCCCTAGCCTCCCAGATCTGCTGAAGTGCCCTTGTTATTGAGAAGCTAAGTTTGATTCTTGAAGGCTTCTCAGAAAACAAAGAAAAGGAGTCTCTGCATTCTCCTATGCCTCTCCCAGTCCCTGTGAAAGCAGGCAAACTTCTGTGTTCTAAGGATGATCCTGTGGTTCTATGATTAGGCAGGGCCAGGCAAAGAATGCCCCCATGCACTACAGCATAAACAACGGTACCCTCTCTGTAGCCCATGGACTGAGGGACAGACCCAGTTCCTGCTTACAGGGTCACCATGTGTTCCTAGCTCTGACTGGGTAGACAATGTTTGGGGTGGGCTGGTCTGATTGACCCTGCACTATAGCCAAATCCATTCACTAATAAGACAAGCCATGATGTAATGGAGTTTCTTGGTATATGTGTTTGTGTGTGTGTACGCACAGATATGTGCGTCTAGCTAATGTCAGGAGCAGGGAAGAACAATTAGTAAATCAGAGTCCTGTTTATACTTCTTTGGTGAAGGAAAATGCTTCATAAGAGATTGTTTGGATTACAGGTCCCAGCACATGAAGTGCATGAAAGTTTTGACTAAGTCTAAGCCAAACGATTTATTATTAACTCATGGTCCCTCATTTTACTATTTTTTTAAAGCAAATTAACAGGACCTTAAACACAGACTTGTCTAATTGCTCTTCCCTTTGTGCTTATTAGCTACTATTCATCATTAGAACATATTTCATTAGAATACATGCATACACAGCCATATAGAAAATGGGTGTGTGTATTTCAATATATTCTTACAGCAGGGTGCAAGAAGCACTTTAAGTGAGATGATTTGTGTGTGTGGCATTTCTGTGGAAGAAACAAGGAACAATCACAATGTTACAACCCATTTAGGCAAACTTAAAGTGGTCAGATAGTTTCTGGTCCCCTTTGCTGGCATGGAATGATGCCCCCTTCCTAGGTCAGGTCCCATGCATCTCATGTATATGTTAGAATGTATATCCAAGACCAGAGCCTACAAGAGGCCTACAAGACCAGTCCAAGACCAGATTTAGAGTTAGAAGGGAGCTCAGAGGCCTACTTCAGCTTAGCATCTAGCATTAGCCAGCAAGGATGGACGGCTAATATTCAGTATCCCCTGTAAACTCTAACATCTGAAAACATTGTTACAGAGATGTGTGATTCACAAGATCTGATCAGGAAAGACATCAGGAAAGGAAAGGAAGGTGTATATTCACCTCCAAAGAGTGTTTCTTAGTGCTGGGGTTTAGAGTTGGTCATTAGCCAGATCATTAGGGTAATGTCAGAATAGGAGTTGTAACACTTACCTACACATGATTAAAAGTTAAGAGATGGTTGAACATTCCTGTTTGCTGGTAGAAAAATCCAGATTGGGACAGGCCTCTCCTCTTGGCTACTGGTCTCAGCATCAATCTTTCCTCCAAGGTTTCTGAAGCCACCATCGATCTCCCATCATCTAGGTATTGTTCTATACTTTCTTGACCAAACTGGTCAACTTGGCATCCAGCAGTGAGATAAATTCCCTAGAGGCTTCTCTCTCTCTCTCTCTCTCTCTCTCTCTCTCTCTCTCTCTCTCTCTCTCTCTCTCTCTCTCTCTCTCTCTCTCTCCCTCCTTCCTCCTAACACTGCCTGCCAGTCAGAATTCCTCTTACTTGAACCAATGAGGAAGAGCCCAGGAAGATTTCTTTATTAAGCCTGCTGTAGCACCTCTGGGAAAGCAAAGCCCTTCCTCAGCCAGTAGCCTGGAGGAAGCAGCTCCTTCAAGGGACAAGAATGGCCTCTTTCTCAGTGGAGCCACACGGCTGCCTGCTTCTGAAAGAATACTAAAAGCCTGGGACCAGGCAGGCAGGAGGAGAGTTGGCCTGGTTCAAAGATGTGCTAAGAGATTAGCTATCAGTGGTGTCCAGGAGCTGTGCCCCTTCCCTAAACACAGAGGGAGGCAGAGACTAAAAACAGCTGTAGGCTGGCCAGTCCCTGGTTGGAGGCTTTCAACTCCTCCCCTTCATTCTCCTCCTCCTCCTTTTTCTCCTTTTTTTTTTTTTTGGTTGGGAAGCCATGGGGGAGGGCGGGGGGGGGGGCTGGGAGAGACATTTACTATTCAGGCTTTTTGCAAATGCTCCTCCATCACACAGCATGAAGTAGCTGATCCCTTCCCCCATATGCTCCAGCTGTGCAGGCAGACATCTGGAATTAACCCAGCTGCCTTCAGCAGCAGAACCTCCTGCTGGTGCCCTTTGCCTGGACCCTCCTCTTAATGCTAGTCTGAAGACAGCAGCAGTGGGTCGATGCTTCATTTACGATCCTTGGGCATCACTTTGGGAGCAGAGACAGCAACTCCCAAAACTTTTCTTTGGTAGAAAGCAAAGTTCTGTACTATATATATATATATATATATATATATGAATGTACAAAGAGAGATATATATATATACATATATATATACTGTATATATATGCACAGTGTATATATACTGCGTAGTACATGTGTATATGTACCCCTCCTTGCACGCACTCTCACATGCCTGCTGCGTGTATACACACACCACACATACACACATGCACGCACACACACATACAGTGTACATATAATATGGCCAGTAAATCTTGGGTGATGGTGATCCAAGGACCTCCGAGGAACATTTTTTGCCCAGATGTCTTCTCAGATGTATTCTGGGGAACATGGAGGCTGCAAACTATGAAAGGCCAAGGGCAGAATCCCCTAGACTGAGGGGGTGAGCCAGGCACTTTGGGGAACTAGACACAAGACAGGGATCTGGGGAGCCCAACTGGCACTCAAGCCAGTGCATGGCTACTTGTGGTTCCTGCTTTTTCTCCTTGCCCCCTCCTCCTTTCCTGATTTTCTTCCTTCCTGCTCCCCACCCCCCTCCTGCTTGCTGTTCACTCCTGACCATGTCCCCATCACCTTGTCCCATCTTCTGGGTCCCTTCCATTGCTGTAGTTGGGATTGATAAGTCTTAGTACCACCTCTTATGGTGCAGGAAAAGGTTTCCGGGGCCGTCCGTGCTCTTCCCCATTCCCAGTCTTGGAACGTGGCTAGGAGAAGACACACGGGTGACGGTCTGATTGAGATGTATCATTCTGTGATGTGGCCTCTTAGCATCTCAGGCCCATCAGGGAATAGGCTGGGCACAGGTTGGGCAGGGAGTGACAGCTAGAGGATTTCTGGTCCACTTTACCTTCTTGTGGTCAGCTGGAAGATGTGAGCAGTCTGACACTCCTCCTGTAATTCTTGTCACATATTCATGCACACATCCCAAACCTAACCAGCACCCACACACCCGCACACACATACACACACCCCACATACACACCCTCTATTGGTAAAAAAAAAATTTTTAAGACAGTTGGGGTTAAATGACTTGCCCAGGGTTACACAGCTAGTAAGTGTCAAGTGTTGATCTGAGGCCGGATTTGAACTCAGGTCCTCTTGACTTCAGGGCCAGTGCTGTATCCACTGCGCTACCTAGCTGCCCCTAAAAGATCTTTTAAATACATAAACTGTTTCTGGCTACTCCACGTAATCCAGCTCAGGGTTGTAGTGCCAGCTGTGGAGAAACCCCATACCAGAGGTGCACCCTATCTGCCCCACCCCTTTCACATTAGAACTCCCGGAATTGAACAGAGAAGTCCTGAGGCTCCGAATCACCAGCAGGACAATGGTGGACCTGGGGTTGTGAGCAGAGGACTCATCCTTGCTCAGCCCCACTCCCTTTCTCAGTCCTTCATGGACCCTAAGGTCAAATTTCCCTCTCTCTCTTATGTATGGGAGAAGGGGGTTGCACCTCATCCAATTTCCTCTGCTGCCCCCAGGGTGGGGTCTCCATCTCTAGGTGGAGTTTAGCTTTGATGAGAAGGACAATCCATCTCCTTGCTCAATAGAATCCCAGCTCTGCACCACAGAATTTCGGAGAGCACTGCAAAGGGGCAGACAGCTGCAAACAGAATCAGCCCGGCCCAAGGGAACAGCCTGGGTAGCCTAAATGCTCCCCAAAGCCATTTGCTGGACATGGTACAACCTCACACACACTCAACACAACAAAGCACAGTAGCTATATGTGAAATGCCATACTGACAGTTTGCACCCCGCCTCTTCCCCTCACTCCCTCCCTCTCTTTCTCATTCCTCCCACACCCTCTTCCCTTTCTTCTTCTGTCCTCATCTCTCTCTTATCCTCTTTTTCCCTATCTTTGTCCATCTCAATTCCTCTCTCCCTCTCTTCCCTCACTTCCTCCTCTTCCCTTCCCTTTTTCTTTCTTTCTTCCCCTCCCTCCTCTGCTCTTTCCTTCTTGCCTTTCTGTTTCTGTCTCCTTTCTCCTCTCACCCTCTTCTCTGTGTGTGTCACTATCTCCCTTCTCTCATCTCCTCTCCCTCCTCTACTCTTCTCTGTCTCTGCCTCTCTGTCTCTCTCACCAGTCCCTTTCATCTCCTCCATACCCAACCACTAGTCTCTTCCTATGCCTTCCAGCCTCCCTCCCTTTCCCTCAGCCTCCCTGGACCTCTCCAGTTCCTCTGGCTTTCCCCCAGTAATGTTTGCTGTTCCTGTCTTTGTGGGACAGGAGATTCTGGTTGGTTTCACTCCTCTGCCCTTTGGTCAGGGCTCTCTGGGCTTGAGGCTGCCCCTAAACCTTCAGGCAGGTAAAAAGAAAAAATCTTCAGGCAGCCAAGGTTCAGAGGTCCCTTATGAGTAGATCTTCTGAGAGTTCTACCAGGTCTCAGTTGGCCCACCTCGACCTTGTTCCTGGGCACATTGACAGTAAAAACATGGTAAGGACCACCACCTGGCTAGGTCTCCCTGGATGGGCCCTTAGGGATCAAATACATGCTTCTGTCATCCAGTGGGGTCTGGCCCGAAGCTTCTGGGTCTGCCTTCCCCTGGCTCATTCACTCGCTTGCTAGCTAGCTTGCTCACTTTCCCACTGGCTCTTGCTCACTCCAGCCCCAGCCCAAGGGCCTGGCCTAAGCCTACCTTTTGTCCTTCCTTCACTCGATGGTCTCTGGGCCAATCAGGGGATGCCCTTTGTGGACATGCAGAATTTCTATGAATATAGTTTTTTGTAAACATTTTGTAACGATTTTGGTTTCATAGTAACTGTGTTACTTGCTAATCATTCTAGGCCCATGTAAATAAATTTCCCCAAAATCTGTTTATTTCCTTTTTAAGACACTGTGAAATATCAAAGTACACAGTTTGCTGTTATGAGGTAATATGGTTTTAAATTTTAAATAATAAAAAAGATTTCTAGAAAATAGTCACACCTTGTTTGTTTCTTTGAGTTCTGTCTTGGAGAATTGGCTCTTCTGGAGTTGAGAGCAAGCTCAGGCTCCTACTCCCCCCATTCAACCAATTACTCAATCCAACAAGTATTCATTAGTTTATTAAGCACCTATGACAGTGCTGGACTAATCTCTGCAGAGTTAAAGCAAGACAAAAATAGTCTCTCCCTTCAAGGCACTTCCATTCTAGCAGGGAGACAATATGCAAATATCTAGGTGCAAAGAAGAGTGGGAAAGGAGAAAGAGAGAGACAGAGACGGAGACAGAGACAGAGAGAGACAGAGAGACAGAAAGAGAAAGAGAGCAATCTCAGAAGGAAGGCACTACTAGCAGGTGGAATACCTTGAAAGCTCTCCTGCAGAAAGTGGAATTTGAGCTGACTCTTGGAGGAAGCCAGAGTTCAATTCCTCAAAAGTGACTTACTCAGCCTTCCCCACACTTAGACTGGGAATCAGATTTTCAAGGCTTTTTATCAGCCATTAAAAAAAGAGGACAAGGCTAAGATTTATTTCTTTCCCAGTCCATTGCAGCTACTTTGGGGAAGATCTTCCCAGAAGAGTCAGAGTAGGTCAATGATGCTAAGAGCAACAGGCCTTTATTGACGCTCCATCTTACCTCACATAAAGGAAAGTGAGAGCCAGGTGAGTGGTAGGGTGAAGAGACGATCAGGATAGGGGGAAGGCACATGGATAACATAGTCCCCCAAGAGACCAGACTACAGCAGCAGGTGAGCAGGACATATTTGAGATTTAGCAGTCATCAGGGGAGTTCAAGCCTTGGGTTAAAATCATCTTGACATCTTGGAAGGAAGAAGAGGAAGGGATTGACCGTCACAAAAGAGACACATCACACAGGCTCAGCTCTGTGCCTTCTCAGTACAGGAACACCTAGGCTGTCCCACACAGCAGAGTCACTCCCTAGGTACTTTAAAACGAAGCAGCAGCGTGTAGTGTATCTGATTGACTTCCTACCTCTGATGCACCAAAATGCTGTGTACCAATGAGCTGGAGAAAGATTCCAAATATAGAAGGTTCCAGAGAGAGAGGACAG